TATTTCTGAGCTCCCTTCCCCCTACCCCATTTCTGAAGAAGGGTCCCAACCCGAAATGTCAGCTTTCCTGCTCCTCTGATGCTGCCTGGCCTGCTGTGTTCCTCCAGTTCCACACACTGTGTTATCTCAGACTCCAGTATCGGCAGTTCTTGCTACCATCGCTAGTTACACCCAGTATTACGCCAGAACCTGCAGGAGGGGGACCCCATACACCAGTGAGAGTCAGTATCTTCAGGAGAGGAGGGGGACCCCGTACCCCAGTGAGAGTCAGTACCTTCAGGATGGGGGACCCCGTACCCCAGTGAGAGTCAGCACCTTCAGGATGGGGGACCCCCTACCCCAGTGAGAGTCAGCACCTTCAGGATGGGGGACCCCGTACCCCAGTGAGAGTCAGCACCTTCGGGAGAGGGACCCCGTACCCCAGTGAGGGTCAGCACCTTCAGGAGAGGAGGGGGACCCCATACCCCAGTGAGAATCAGCACCTTCGGGAAAGGAGCTGGTGGGAACACCAGATTGGGGATCTTGTTCTGAATAGAATCTGCACCTTGTGTCGATGTCAGGGAGCCTGTCGATCTCCACAGAGGAAAGGTTGGTGATCCATCTGCTGAACCAGCCCATGACATCAAACTGACCCACCCAGCAACCAGCAGCTCGTAACTGGTGTTGGTGCAACTGATGATGTCTTTCAAGCAACCTATCAGTGTGGTGAGTGTGATTCATATTCAGGGGATGGGAGAGAGGGAAGGGAATGGATAGAGAGAGAAAGATACACAGAGTGAGTGAGAATAGGAGAGAGAGTGTAGATGATAGTTGGCAGACACAGAGGGAAAGACAGAGCGTGGGAGAGACTGAGAATAAGACAGAGAGAGTGAGAGACAGGGTCAGTATGGAATAGACTGAGTGTGTGTGTGAGAATCAGTGTGAAAGTGAGAACGAGAGAGAGTGTGAGAGTCAGTGTGAGAGAAAGTGCGAGAGTGTGACAGAGAGTGAGAATGAGAGAGCGAGCATGTGCAGAGACAGAAAAGTGAGGGAGACAGAGGTTTGACAGATAGAGAAACAGGGTGTTGCTGGGGGAGCAATGATGGATTGCAGAGAACTTGGTTCAGTCTCTCCTCTGGTTCCCCACCTGATGTATGGATAAATATCTCCAGAGGTCTTCGATAGGATCAGACAGACAGACAATTTCTCAATGGCCCTAAAACCATGGTGTACTATAATCAGTCCCAGCACTGGGCTCAGTATCTGATAAAATCCAGTTGAAAATCAGATGGTGATTGTTGGTGTCTTGCTTTGCAGCATGTCCCTAATGTCTGGCTAACAGAGGTCAGTAAAAACATGTCACCCCCTCCAATGGGAGGTTTTACTCTGTATCTAACCCCGTGCTGTCCCTGTCCTGGGAGTGTTTGAAGTGGTCTGTCCTACCGTGTAAATGGTCTGCCTTGGTTTGCACAGATCCTACCACTTTCAACCATTCTGCCTGACCCAAGCCCTAACGTGTTGGTGATCTTTCTGCAGGAATGGACTGATTAGCAACTCTTCTGGAATCCAACTGAATACGATGGGATCACGAAGTCCAGCTGCCATCCACGCACAGCTGGCTGCCGGATGTGCTCCTGTACAATGCGTAGGTAGCAGCTTTTTTCTTGCCTGCAGCTTCTGTTACCCTTATACGAGGCACAATGGTCTATGATGAGGGGAAGAGGGAATTGAACTGCAAAATGTTGGCCTTCTAAGCGAAGAGTTGAAGGGAAGACCTGGGAAGATTGGCTGCCCTCAACCCAATCAATTCACCCTCACCTTCCACCTCTAATCCAGAAGGCTCTTGCTGAGTGCCCAAGGGCACTGCCCACCCATGGAACAGTGGGTTTGATGGAGTCACTTCTGTGCCACATCATCAAGAGGAGGAAAGAAAACAGGAGCAGGAGTGGACCATTCAGTCCTTATTGTCTGTTCCACCAGTCACTGGGATCACGGTCGCTAATCTACCTCAATGCCATATTCTCTGAAGTCCTTGATGCCTTTAAAATCTAAACATTTTTTTATCTGTCTCTTCAGAATCAGATCTGAAGAAAGTTCACTGATCTCGAACCATTCATGCTGTTTCTATCTCCAGAGGTACTGCCAGACCTGCTGAGTTTCTCCAGCAATTTCTGTTTTGGTTGGTTTCAGATTTCCACTGTCCACTATTCTGTTATATTTTCTCGATTGCCACCCCACTTTTGTAAAAATCGTTGAGGGCAATCTCTCTCTCACACACACACACCTGGAGACAGACCCTTTGGCCTAACTCCTCCATGCCACCCAGATATCCTAAATAAATCTAGTCCCATTTGCCAGCATTTGACCCATATCCCTCTAAATCCTTCCTACTCATGTACCCATCCAGATGCCTTTTAAATGTTGTAATTGTACCAGCCTCCACCACTTCCTCTGGCAGCTCGTTCCATACACGCACCACCCTCTGTGTGAAAATGTTGCCCCTCAGGTCCCTTTTAAATCTTTCCCCTCTCACCTTAAGCCTATGCCACTCTAGTTCTGGACTCCTCTACCCTGGGGAAAAAACCTTGACTATTCACCATCTCCATGCCCCTCATGATTTTATAAACCTCTGTAAGGTCATCCTGCAGCCTCTGATGCTCCACAGAAAATAGCCCCAGCCTATTCAGCCTTTCCCTGTTGCTCAAACCCTCCAAACCTGGCAACATCCTCTTCAATCTTCTCTGAACCTTTTCAAGTTTAACAAGATCCTTCCTATAGAAGGGTGAACGAAATTGTACGCAGTATTCGTAAAGTAGCCTCCTTCTGTAAATAGCAGGGACATCTCGTCGTTGAGACTTGGCACTAGCCAGGTGCCAACACACCTCAAGTCTCTCTCTCTCTCGCGAGAGAGAGAGACTCCCGGAGTCTTGCTCCGCAGAATTCGCCTGTTAGCATTTTCTGGGACCAAACATGAAAAAAAAACAAAAAGTTGCCCGTGAAACACTTTGGGACATCCAGTGGTCACGAGGCTGTGTAGAACTATAGAAAAGAAAGGAGTAGGCCTTTCAGCCCCGTGAGTCTGCTCCAGCATTCAATACTATCACAGCTGATTATCCAACTCAGTTCCCTGTTCCTGCTTTCTCCCTTTTCCTCCAAACTAGAAATATTATCATCCACAACTGAGCGATTTTCCACCACAATCAATGTGTTTTTTTTCACTTTTTAAAAAAAACTACTGACCACCACCTGTAAGAACACACTTGCAGCCAATTTGATATTTACAATCAAAGCCTTTTATGAGCAATGCAAAACATCAAAAGTAAGGGAGGAGGTAGGGAGAGGGGAAGGGGGCTAAGTAAAAATGGATTTGGAAGGGAAAATAAAGGACTGTATCTCCTACAGTGCCCAACCCTCTCTAAAGACATCGAGGGGCACCGCATGCTTCCCTCTCAAATGATGACTGTAATTGTGGAAGAGGGGCAGACAGTTAGCAGAGATGACCGCCTCCACAACCCATTATCTAAATGTACTTATAGCCAGATGGGGCCAGGTCTTTTGATCCCTTTCGATCTATATCTAATTCCTGCTTGAATACTTTGGCACCAACCACTTTCTTTAGCAGAGAATCCAACACCCTCTCCACCCTCTGGGTGAAGATATTTCTTCCATCTTGGTCCTCCTTCAGAGTGCATGGCTAGCCTGGATGACTTTGCACTGAGTGGGACATCGTGGTCCTACTGGGCCAGTGTAATGAGACCACACCCAGAGGAAGCATCTTTTCTACACTATCAACCTCATGGTCCCCTGCACGCTAATCACCTCC